AAAATCATCTGGTCGTATATATAATTTCTTTTGTCGGCGCTTTGTGATATTAAGGGATAAACATTAAAGAGGCAGTTTCATACTGATGTCCTTAATAAAGCAAATAGAATGGAATTCAAAGGAAGAGAGTAAAAGCTTTTGATAAGCAAAGAAGTAAAGAACCCAATTAATTTTCAAATGGAAGTCAATATTATCACATTACTGTACCCTATAGTCGCTAATGAAAAATTATGGTGCGCTTTAAAGTCGAAATGTAAATAACGTTCTCTCCAATTCGTCGGTTTCTCTATAAATTTTTCGTTTGGTACCCGTTCGTTCGAGATACTTAAATCCTATACTCTAAGTTTTCGGAAATTAAGTAACAAACTTTTCGTAAAATCTCCTAAATGAAAAAAACATCTACACGCACAGCAAGCATTTGCAAAGTTCTGTCGGCTTATGCTCTTTTTTCCCATTTTGGTAGTGATTAAAGTACTCCAAAATTGATTTGATTTTGATTCGATGTGTGTCAAACCTCAAACTGTTTCATTAGCAATCTTCCGAAAACTAAAGCCACCTAAACGATGCAGGTAGGGCGCCACTAATTTCTACTGAATCCTACCATAGTGTATATTCTTTACACTAAGATCCTACTAACGAATCCATTTTTTCTAGTTTTAGAATTCGATCTACGAGTGTTTAGTGCAATTATTAATTACTTAGAAACTATAGATACCGGGCCTTTGTGTTATTTTTGAGTTATCACGTGTTTTATCAGTGAATTAGAACAAAAGTAAATTTGTTTCGCAGTGTTACCACTACAAAATCGAAAAAGTCCCCACCAAAGACGGAGACAATGAAGTCACTATAGTCGATCCGTTACTCCTATTCCGATATGTAATTAACCCCACTAAATGCAGAGTTAACTTTTTTTTTACCTCATGTCGTCGATTAAACATAAACGATTTTATTAAAGAAAATGTATCGCGTTATTGTTTACGTGCAGAATAAGAATGAAGAAAATACGGTACCGCAACGGTTAAGCGATTCTAGGTCGTATCGCCTACGTCAAAGAATGTTAATTAATGTGAATTTCGCTTGCATCCAGCTTTGTTTACAGTAATGTTGTTTATGCCTACCTGATGCAATTAATCTGCAGTTCTAAAAATTTTATGAATCGGATGCTTAATGCCTGAGCCCGATACAAATTCGATTTACGATTACGATTTCTCCGGTTTTGAAAAACGGAAAATTATAAGTAATAGTATGAACAGATGCAGTATTTTTTTCTCTAAAAAAACGTATTTAGACTTTGGCTCTAAAATAATTAGGGGAGCTAGTAATTGGCTATAAAGAAATTACCATTGAAATCCCTATGCTGCGTCGCTCTAGGCACCACCCGGTACATCAGCATCAAAAACTACACAACTTTGCCAATTTAACCGAATCTGTAAATATAACAATAACAAAGATGGCCATGTAACTAATCGTACTAAATTTAAGACACCCTGTATAATTAAGATCACTGGGGTGAGTTTGTTTGATCTTGATTATTCGTAATTAAATTTAAAACTAAACTTTTATATGCTCTGTAAACAAGAGTTATTTGTTCTCGATTTAATTAACTGCAAAGTGGGGCCTCTATTCCATTTGATCAAATATTAATGAATTTTAACGGAAAAGTACATTCTCGTACTGAGTCAATATAAATACATTGGCGGAAATAACTTACCATTATTTTTGAGTGGGCTCCTTTATTATCATGGTCATACCTTTGTTCAATAAAGTCATACAGAGATTGCATAAAACATTGTTTAACGTTCGTTGCAATGGAATTAGATTATTCACATCGAGAGATTGTTGTGTATCCCGTATCGAATGGGCATTTGTTTATTCATTTGATTAGTCTTTTCGTGTTGTGCCTGCTAATGGAAACATTTTGTTACGCTTCGTCCCACGGGTTCGTTGTTTGCGCAAATGTAAATTTCATTTTGAAAATTTCAACCCTATTTTGGTTGCGATACAGCCGCTTGATCGCACAAAGTAATGATGAAGTAGAAGAGATTCGTACTTTGCGAAAATATAAACAGAAAGCACTCCCCGCGGTCGCATTTCGGCGGTTAGCATCTAAAAGTAAATATAGCAGAGCCAGAGTGAAAATACTTGCAATGGCGTTCGTTTGATGTGATTACAGAATTTCATTTCGGAGTAGGTATATTTTATTCTTTGATGTTTCACGTTTATATTTTGCACTTGTATTGATTCTGTTTGTATTCTGACAAACATTTTTTTAATCTAAAAAAAAATCGATCGCAAATCGTGCAGGTGGTGGCGGTAAAGTGCTCAGGAAAATATAAATGGAAAACCTGGTTTCCTCTTCTCATTTCTCCACAATCTTATCAGATTATTCTTGCATGACATTGGTTTTTCCTATTCCAGACGTGCCTTTTATGTCGACATTTTCAGAATCTCATCTAGAATGTGTTGCTCATTTTCAGTTTTCGCGTGAAATTGCTTTTTAATACACACATATGGGAGCCGCTCGTAATTTATATGTAAAGGCCTACCCGTTTTTTTCCTTGACAAATTATTAATGCGTTTTATGTTTCTTTCAAGCAAGCTAAAAGGTTGTGCAAGCTGGATGCGTAAGTTATGTCTCGGGAGAGATTTTTCAACTCCACCAACAGCAGTATTTACGACGTCTCAAAAATTTATGCTGCTTCATTTTAGTTAAGACCGATAATTAAATATTTCTCATTTCCATGATAAGTTAAAAAATTTGAAATTAAGTTCAAAAGTTTCTGGCAGGAAAATCTAAAATGACGGGAAAGCGAACATTTTCGTTTTAATATCAGACCATTATGTTGATTTATATTTCAGCTTGAGGGAAATTAACTGTTTCTATATCAATTAAGAGTTTTAAATACCCGTTTCTTTTCCACGCTTTTTCGTTACTTTTTTCGGCACATTATACACGCTGAATAATTCATATGTACCTAATATTTGGAAACTTTTAAATGCAGGTACTCATACCTTATTCGCAAATCTTAATGGGTGCGCTAAGCTCGTCGTATAGACGGAAAATCTAATAAAATATTTGCAAAATTTCCAATTTAGGTTTCTTGGGAAATCTGGATGCGAACGCTGTAAAATTGGGTTTAATGTGAATTGGGCAACAATAAAAAGCACAAAATAAAACTAAATTGGTTGAATGGGATTGCAAAATTACATTTAGGAAATGTAGAAGCGTTTTTTTTTACAATACAAAGGCACTAAACGTATAACCTTTACTTGGATTTTTTAGTCTCTTTG